TTAAATTGTTTAAATATATATTAGGCTCCTTAATAACATTTGTTGAGCACTCTTAATTGTATTTTAACATTCCGTGTAAATATGGAAACTAATAATTTTATTTACTCCTTGAAAAATATACCTATACTAGATGAAAAAAGTTATACTATTTCTTTGATTGAAAAAGTTAAGCATTTTATAAAAAGAATTCGTTGAAAAGCGCATTTTTTCTTAAAACCAAATACAAACACAGATGATGTATTTAATAATAACCAAGATAATGATAATTATGGATTTAAAACAAAAAATACCCCACCTTTCATACCTGATTTGGAAAATTTTGAAAATGACCTATTGCATTTAATTAAAACAATAAAGTTTCGCGCTATAAAAAACAAATTTCAATATATTTCAATAAAATTTCAATATAATTTCAATAAAAAACAGAATTAAAGTTAGATGTTAAAAAAATTAAAGCAAACCCTAATATTTTGGTTTTTGCTGATAAAACAAATAACATTTACCAACTAACAACAGAAAACTATGAAAAATTTTTACGCGACAATATTACTAGTTCTTATGAGAAAGCCCCTAAAAATTTGGAAAATGTAATTAATTTAGAAGCGCAAAGTATTGCTAAAAAAATAAGCCTTGACAACAGAATCGAATCAACTGCTCCTGCCCATGCTAAGGATTTCATTCTCTTTTTCAATTTATGAATTGCTTATTTTGCTTTGCTTCTTTAGCGCCATTTTTAAGGCGCTAATTATCAAAACTTGCAATTAGCCGTAGTCAAGTTATGAAAACAAAGAACTATATGCGTGGTCATATAAGGCACGCGATCGCACGCCTCTTACGAGAAGGCCTGTAAAATAAATAATTACATATTTATATAGTTTTAATAAATTTTATATAGCAATAAAAACTTTTATAATTAAATTAAAATTTTGTTAATAATATTATATTTATAATTTTTTAAACAATTTAATTTTTTATAATAAAAAACATATTTATAATATTTTAATCAATTTTCGATACAACTTCAGTAATTTAAATTCAGAGCTGACGATATAAAGATAATGTTAAAAATATTCATTTAGGTCTTCAAGCATTTGTTCAAATGTGCCCAATGAAATTTATTGAACAACTGCAAATATTTATGAAAAAAATTAGAACCGTTTATGTTTTAATTGAACTTTCGATCAAAAGTCATAATGAATTTCAGTTCTAAATTATTTTTGACTTTTCGATCAAAAACTTGATTGAATTTTTTGTTTTGTTTCTTAAATCATTACTGAAATCATTACACCTGAATTTCATTTCAGAACCGAACATGAGAAATTCATTAAACAACATAGCTGTGAATATTTGCTATGTAAAACACAAGAATCACAATAGTTACATTTATTTAAAATACAAAAACTATCAAAAGTACATAAAAGAAGTGATTTACCTGAAACGATTTGAGGACTCTTGTAATTCCAAAACAAAAGATTTCAGCCATGAGGGAGCGATTAAAAAAATGAGACTTATAGCTGACGTATAGCTTTTCAAGAAATATTAGTCAATAATGCAAATTGATTAGAAAGTTAGAGTAGCAAAGTTTCTAACTTCTAGTTAGAAAGTGTGATATTTTGATGTACAACAGACGAACTTGGCACCAGGCAAAGCATGTCAGACATGGGTCAAAGAAAATGCAACTGATGCTGTTACCATATGTTTGGGTAATTTATCCATTTTAAATCCCATCAATTGCTTACTTAGTCAAACCAAAAACAGAGGTTTTTGGTTTGACTAAGTAAGCAACATCACTAGCAGAACAGAGAAGAGCCATCATAAAAGTGAACATACTTTTTAAACATACGTTTTAAACTGAAATTTTATTCTTTATTCTTCACATAAGTTATTTTTTAAATTAAAACAATTTCTAGTATTAAATGAATTCCAATATAACATGAAACTTGATAAACAAGGCCGATGCAAGGAGAAATGAGTAAAGCATGGTAGTACCAGAGACAAAAATTTATGAAGAAGAGGATTTATGAAGAGTTTTTTTTACATAAAAATAAGAACATTGGTTATTATATATTTTGCATCTAATTTAGTTTTAGTTAAAAAACATTGTGTTAACTGTGTCTGGTCATTTTGTTGCTATAAAGTTTATACTCTTATGAAAACAATGTCATTGTCAATAGTAAAATTTTATAGACAACAATAATAATGGGTATTTTATGAATTACTATAATCATAATAACTAATTATAACTAATAATTAAAAGTCAGAAATTTCCTTCACAAAATCAATATAGAAATTAATTATAAAAAATAAATAAATTTATAAATAAAAAAAATTACACTTTTTAGTAACTTTATTATCATATGTAAATTTATTATCAGTTTAATTAATATATCCAGCAAAAATTGTTTTGGAGGATTTGCAGTGAACTTCTATAAACATTTTTGAGTGGTTCATTGCAGTTTTGCTTCGCGATTACTTAGTGAACCATTAGTGGCAGACACTATAAATGGCAAGCCACTAACTTTCTAACATATCAATTGTATCTAGGCAACAACCACCTACTTTTGGTATTGCCACTAATAATTCAATAAGTGACCGATACGCAAAACTACAGAGAAACGCTTAAAATGTGTATATAGATCTACTAAAAGTCCGCTAAAAAATTTTTGCTGGGTAGAGTTACCATCTTTTCTTCAGTTTAGTTATCAAAAAAAATATAAAAAATATAACAAAATTTCATTTTTATATATATCCTAGCTAATAATATTAACTAGAATTAATTAAACCAATCTAATTCACATATCTTGAAACAAAAACTTTACCACTTTTCATTTACTCCTAATTAGATATTTTTATTTAAAACCTTCTATAAAATGTATATTTAATAAATATGTATACCCGAACAAAAAAGAATTCCACCAATCTTAAAAATTGTTAAGTTAAGCAGCAAGCTTTAGCAGCATGTTATCTTTAATTTATTTTAAGGCATTTTTATATATTTGAGACAATGGGTGGACCTTGTCTCAAATATATAAACCTAACTCACATACTTCAAAACAAAAATTTTACCATTTTTCATTTATCCCTAATTAGAATTATGCTTTTATATAAAACCTTCCATAAAAGGTATAACTAATATATAAGTATACACAATCAAAACGAATACTTAGAATAATCATAAGATTGTTAAGTAAAGCTTTAACAGTGCCTCAAATGTGCCCTGAATTTGAAAGCAAACAATTGATCACATTAAAAACTATCTGTCAGACATCTTTTAAATAAATTTTCCCCATGAACCTCTGTTTTATAATTGAACAGTTTAGAGAGACAAACAACAAAAGACAACAACCAACAAAAGAACATAACTATTACCAATACATTTGATAAAAATATGAAAAATCTATCAAAGTCTAAAACCAAAAATACTATTTTATTTTTGTGACTAAATGGAAAATAATGCAAACAAAGTTAATATGCTCATTTTAAAAGAAAACAAAATTCTTGGTATATTAAAAATTATGTAGCACAGAAAATATTTTGTTAAATTTTGTGTCTTTTGTTAATAAACACATTAAAAAACTAGCTAAAACATATGTAACTATAAATTTGTATGAATATATAAATATCTTTCGAAACAAGCAAGCATTGATAGAGAGAAAAACTGAATAATGATCAAGTTCATTCATATAGAAACCTTGATAGCTGAAACAACATTCAAAAAAGCAGGCTATAGTTTCATGTAATTCATAAAACACAAATACTTTTAATAAATGAAAAAAAAAGTTTCAAGTTTATACATATCAGTTATGTAAATGTGTAAATCAAATCTAATGTCCACATCAGTTAAAAAAAACATAAATATCCAATATTAATTCAGCAAAGTTTTTAGTTGACTTATACTTGTCTTATGTGTGTGGCCTGAAGTTAGAAGCAAACAAGTAATCATATTTAGTATTGACCGGACATCTTTCTAGTAACGTTCCCTCATGACCCTATGTTTCAGAGTTACAGTTGAGAAATACAGAAAAATTTTATTTAAAGTTTGTTTAGTTTTATTCAGAAAACAAAAACATAAATTTTTAAACTTGATGTCTGATAAAAATAAATTTAACCATTAAAAAAAGTCTAAGGGTAAGAACATTCCTTAAACTTCTATACTTAATGAGACCAGCTTTAATAAATTAGGACACAGGGTTTTTATATTTTTAATCATTCCACTTTCAATTAAAATTACTTTGAACTAATTACAATACTACACACCCATTTATTGAGAGCCTTCTCGTGTTACTTCTCATTTTACACTTCTGCTGCAATTTATGTTGGAAAATTTATTTGTAAATTCCGGGTAAATACAAGAAACTATTCTGACGTTATTACTTTTTGGATCTGGATATTGCAACCCAAATAAAATTATATGTATAGAATTTGTATTTTCTGACTTTAATACAAAAGATGTGTTAATTTTTGAAGAAAGGAGGCTAGAAAGAAGTTTTTAATTTTTTTCATTTTTTGGCCATTTTTTTCATTTTTTGGCCATTTTTTTAAATACTTAAAACCTTCAAAAAACGAGGGGGTCCTACACTTTATAGCTTTATCTTTTGAGCGTCGAAATAAATTTTGATAAAATTTGACACCTAATTATAATTTATGATGGGATTCAAGAACATTTTATTTTTTATTTCCCTCAACCAGGGCTTGCAGGGGACGTTTTTCAAGGGTATTCCTGCCTTTGTAATCTGAATGCCGTAATTTTTAGCAAAGAAATATCATTTCAATAAATATTAGCAAAATAATAGTTGCAATTATCTATTTGTCAAAAATCTATTAGAAATTCATCAAATTTTCCATCTCTACACACAAAACATGAATAAATTTCCGATAACAAGTTCAGACAAATGAAATGCAACAAAAAGTATTTTTTCTAATTATATATTACAAAAAAGATTTGTTATTTTTTAAAAAAAAAAAAAGATTTGTTTTTTCATTTTAAATATATTCTTGAAAAATCTTCTTATAATCTCGCTCAACAACCATAGCTCTTAGTTTTTCACCGTGATGGACGTTTCTTTCAGACGCAACGAACCTTTTCAGTGTCTTGTTTAAGTTTTTATGCACATGTTTGTTCTGATGTAATACCGAGCGGATTTTTCTGCCTATCGAGATACTCCTTGAGATGGAACCTGATTATATGAAACTTTTATCCAAGTGAAATCTTCATTGCGAATTCATCATGGACATATACTTTTAAGTGAAGCATGGACTCCACAAACTTGTCTATTTTTTCTTTGTAGGATAAATCGAGTTTGGTCCCAAAACAATATTCAGCTAATAAATCAAACAAAAGTTAACCAAACATTAATTTGCTAAAAATAATAGTATTAATATACCGTGTCTAATATTTTTATCTACACTGGTCCCCTACCTGTACTATTTAAATTAAAAACATTCTAAGAAGTGTTAAAACAAAATTAAAAGGCAATAAAGTTCCTTCTTTAAACCTCCATAGGGTTTAAATACATTCCAGATATTCATTTGGAGAATAAAGTCATTTATTCTAATAAATTCAGATATTCATTTGGAGAATAAAGTCATCATTTTGTTCTATGATTTTAAAACTTTGGCACAGTTAGGTCCATCAAAACTACCACCATTATAGCCATGCCAGAAAACCGTTTTTTTTTCAAGAAATTCCTTTAGATTTTTATTAGTAAAGAGGAGATCAATATTTTTACTAACATGGTGTTCATAAATATTTGGGGCAAATAGAAAAACACAATTCAAACCTTTCTTACGTCAGCTTGGAGCTTTAAATATTTATAAGCTTAATATTCATCATGTAATGTTATTTATGTTTAAAGCAAAACTTGGGTTTTCTCCAGTAACATTTCAATCCTACTTTAATGAAATCTTCCATAAATATCCAACCAAGTTTTCAGTGAATAACTTTGTGGTTCCCATAAATCTTCTTAAATTAAGTTCGTACCAAATTCAATATCGGGGACCTTTAGTTTGAAAATAATTTCTTCCAATCTTTTGGAAAAAACAAAACTAAACTTGGAATTCGATATATTAGATTTCAAATACCTTTTTTGAAAACAGTTTAATGGTTTAAACTAAATCACTTAAAAATAAATTAAATATTTATCACTTTCTCTAGCTTTTATTAAAATGGTTTCAAACCATTAGTATAAAAGATAACGAAATTAAAATTGTCTTTTTTGTTTTTATTTTTAATGATATTAAATAATCAGCCCAAATACTTTTGTTTACATATATTGCTTTTTTTTTTAATTAAACAATGCATTTTTTTTGTGTTTTTAAAACTTTTATGATTTTCTGTCGTTTTTAGTATTTTATTTTTAAAATTATTCTGCTGGAAGATTGTTAGCAACAAATTATTTTATTGCTGAAGTTTTTTTTTTGTTTTTTTTTTTGTATTTATACTGTCTTTTTGTCTTTTATTATTTATTGTGCATGTAAACTTTTGTGTGATAAGACAACCTGTCTTCTTCTTGCTCCGGCCAGGATTTCTTTTATTGTAATTTATTTTTTGTAATATTTATAAACGGAAAAATAAATAAATAATAATTAAAAAAAAAAAAGTATGATATTCAGGTGGTGGAATTATGTTGATTAGGTTCCTCAGTCAATTTCTCATCCTACAGGCAAAAATTAGTATCATTTTTATAATATTGCATCTGTATACGAGGTTTGCTATCAAATTGGTATTTTTTGAATTCATATGCTTGTGATCCCAAAGGTCTTTGAATTCCTTTTTCAACCATCGGCCCATCACAATAGCAACACGAGTATTTCCCACCGAGACCCTTAATTATAGAAAATAACTTTAGGTATTGCTTATCTAAAATATAAAATATAAATGAAATAAGATACTTACTAATAACCTAATGATGATGCTGATCAATTTGAGGTCAGAAGCTAAGTTAAACTTCAATTGGTGAGTTGAAGAAGTTGGAAAAGTGTTTTTAGATTGTGATGATTCTCTTCAACGTTTCGAACTATATCTAAGTTAAATACTTCAATGACTCCAATGTACCTCTAGTTTCTTGGTTGAAAATCTAATACTGATGGGTCAAACACGTTCATAACAATCTTTAGAGATCCCTGCCCTCCATCAATACCAACACGTACAACAGAGTTAAAAATATCTAATTTTCTGAAGGAACAAACTTCAGTTACGAGCATAGATACGTCAGTACAATAAACAATATCTTTTTCAAAAGAGTTTTTACCGATCTTGAGCTTGTCACGTCATAAAACCTATTCATGTAGCGTGACCTGTTTGTAATTTCAGCTTAGATGTTCTCTTGTATTCCAGATTGTCTAACATCTTTTTTTATCTCCTTCATTATTCCTAACACTGCACAATTTGGAAGATCTTGGTTTATCTTCAATTTCAGGATTGTTTCTTTATTTTTTGATTGTACTTTAAAAGGAAGAGCTTCTCCTCCTGTTGCTTCTCCTCCTGTTTATTTTTTTAATATCACCAAAAACATACTTCTTTTAGCGTGCAAGAAACAACTCAGCGATATTTTGAAGTAACTAAGGCGTGAAGATTTTGAACAATTTTTTTTTTAGTTGCAAGGATGACAATTACCAGAACCAACAATTTGACAGCATTCTAAGCAAAATGAATTTTTTTTTCGAATGTAATCTTTTGAATTTCTACGTAGGTGAATTCAGAAAGATTAAGTGTACTACTACTTTTAGTACACTAGGTATTAAATATCACAATTGCAGTTGCCATCTTTTTGTTTAATTCTTCCCAACATTTTAACTTGATCAGGACCATTTATCCAGGAAGTCTCCACAGCTTTATTGATCACTTTACCTTTCTGTTTTAAATATAAGTTTGTCTTGAAGCTTCCGCATATTCCAGACGGATGAGAACTTAGTTCAGACTGAATCACACAAAGTCTCAAATTAGATGAATCAAATGAAGTGTCCACAATGTTTTGATCAGATGAATCAATAAATCATTCTTCTCAAAAGATAGATATTTTTTGTCTTTTTTGACACAACAGAAACATATTTATTTCCTATTTTCTGAATGAGATAATTTTTTAACAGACTTATTTTGTACAAAAACGTTTTTATTTAGTATTTTTTGTATTAGGTTATTTAAATTTCATAAATCAATACTCTAACAAATTGTTTAATTTAAACAAATTATTAGACGATTGGCGTAATTTATTGAGAATAATTTATTAGATATTAAATCATTTATAATAAGTCTCTAAATAAAAATAACTTCAACTTTAGGCACAAACCACGTGATTTGCAATCAAGAGTAGAAATACACTTGAAAAATGCCCCAGCATCTCCTGGTTGAGGGAAAGTATTATATGAAAGAAAAAAAAAATTATCATGAATCCTATCATAAATTGTAATTAAGTTTCAAATTTTATTAAAATATATTTTGACGCTCAAAAGATACAGCCACATAAAGTTTAAGACCCCCTCATTTCTAAGATTTTCTCTCTTTGTGTTTGAATCATAACAATATTCTGAAATTTTTACGCTATTTGGATAAATTTTTTAGGAGTTATAAAGTTCTAAAAGTGTGTTTATAATTTATTTATATTTTGCTGACTCAGCAAAACAATAAGTTTTTCATAATTTTTTGGAGTGTATTTATTGATAAATATGATTATTCTTTTCATGTTAAGTTATTTGGAAAAAATTATCTTTAAAATGCAGAATTGTTTTTTAATCATATTAAACCATAAGTTTTTGATCATAGAGCCACCTTAAATAATTACAATAACTAATTAGTTATTGTAATTACTTAACAAAAAGTTTAGTACTCGTTTATAACTCAGTTTACAACTCATTTATAACTTTAAGTTATAAACTCAGTTTATAACTCAGTAATTAAATTACATTATTTTAAAAGCATATGTTAGTCTATACTTCGTTTCTTGTTTCGAATCACGACACGACATTTGATTAATAAAATTTCTAAATAAAACAAACAAAAAAAATGTTTTCTAGGCTACAAAAGCTTAAAGTTTTTTTATTTTTATATCACAATTTTATTCATACTTGACTACTCTATTTATTTTATAATGTAGTTAAAGAAAAGTTGTTGTTTGCCTTTTTGTTGTCGCCATTTTACTAAAATACTATATTTTTAAATTATCATGACAGCGTCATTATTTGCGTCAAGGTAAGAAAATCAGGCATTTTTGTACAGTCTTGATGTCGGTTTCTTTTTAATTATGGTTACAAGCATACTCCCGAACCGTTTTAATGTGGTTGAACTTCCATATGTTTTATACTTACATAATGTACCACATAATTACGGATTCAAGATTCTTTGGTGTTCGAGATGGCGCAAACGCCAAAAGAGACACGGAGGAAACGCCAAACATTTGCATGTTTATACTTATATTAAATAACTATGCTTTGCAAAAAATTGCGATGATTGGAGGCTGGGAACGGAAAAAAACTCCAAACGGAAGGGGCAACAAGTTGATAAAATATTTTTTCTACTATTCTTAATAGTAGAAAAAATATTTTATAATCTACTCATTTATAAATTTTACATTTTATAGTATTACCTTACAGCGTTCAAAAATTACGACTATATCTATTTTGTAACCCCCTCAAACTGGAGTGAATTTAAAACTTATATGGTCATAAATTTTGAATACTAAGAAATAATATTATGAAATTTAAAATTTATTGACGTTTTTAACTCCATTTAAGAATAATACAAAAAAATATACTATCAAATTGTGGTTAGGGAAGTTATCGTTATTTTTTGCAAAGCATCATTATTTGACAAAAGTAAAAACATAAAAATGTTTCATCTAGTTAACTCTAGTTAATAAAAGTTAACAGTAAAATAAAACATCTAGTTAATAAAAGTTAACAGTAAAATAAAACAGCAACACATATAAGTTTATGTTTCATTTTACAGAATATATTGATTTACACTATGTTTAAAATGAACAATATTAACAATGTCATAACCCCAGTAACTCAATACTAATATAAAATGTTTTAGAAACAGACGCAAATAAAAATCATTTAAAAAAAAGTTATTCTCAAGTCTCTATTTTTAAAAGTGGAGTAAGGGGAGGGGGATAAAAATACCCCTACTCGGTATAGTAGAGGCAAGATTTAAATATTATAGCGTCTGTATTTCCGTTTAATGATAAGGTGTGTAAATTATGAAAAGACAAAAAAAAATTAAAATGTTAAATTTTGCGGTATCATAAAATAAAAATGTTTACAACGAAAAACCAATACCAAAGATTTTTTTTTTTAATTGATTTTTTCAAAATCGTTTGCCAAAC